GCCTAAATTTGGTCTCAGATCTGCCTGCCTCACACCAAGTGTAGTTTGTTCACTGTTGGCGTGGCTGTGCTTTCCAGAAGCTCGAGGCTTCCTTTCTGACTCCTTTTCCCCGGCTCCATCCCTGTCTTACTGCTGCGCTCAGCTGGGCCTTCTCTGTGCATTTTCTGAGAGTTGCGTGTGCAGGCACTCCTGTGTGGCAGAGTGACGTGTGCGTCTCAAATGGTGCATGGTTGGAGAGAACTTCAGCTTTGGAACTTGGTTATCCATGTGATGCCCAACTTGTCCCCCCACTTAGGCCTTCCAGTCAGTCATTAACACAAATTTATTCAGCACCCACTTTGTACTAAGCGGTTTTGCATATTCTAGAGGTACAGAGGCGAACCAACTAGTTGCCATCAGGTCAGTTCTGACTCATGGCGACCCCATCTGTGTCAGACCTAGAACTGTGCTCCATAGGGTTTTCAGTGGCTGTGATCTTTCAGAAGTAGATCACCAGGTCTTTCTTCCAAGGAGCCTCTGGGTGGTGGTTGTTAGGTGCCGTCCAGTCCATTCTGACTCATAGTGACCCTGTGTACAGTAGAACGAAACACTGCTCAGACCTGCAGGTAATAATGAGTAGCGGACTAAAAGAATAGATATGACGTCAGTTAGCTGTATGAAAAATAACAAACCTGGGCTCAAGATAAAGTGCGAGCAGGAAAGGGTAGTCAGGATGGCCTCTCTGAGGAGGTGCAGTTGGCTTGAGTTCTGAGTGGGTGATGGTACTAGTTATGTAAAAATTTGGTGAGGGGGCGGGGGTAGGGTAGTGGTCCAGGCCTGGTGTGGTATGAGGTACAGTTATCCCTTAGTATCTGCAGGGAATTGGTTCCAGGACCGCCCCCCCGTGGATATCAAAATCCAAGGATGCTCAAGTCACTAATATAAAACGACGTAGTATTTGAATATAACCTATGCACATCCTCCCTTATGCTTTAAATCATCTCTAGATTACTTATAATACCTAATACAATATAAATGTTTTGTAAATGGTTGTTCTATTGTTTAAGGAAGAATGATGACAAAAAAAAAAAAAATCCTTTTTTTCCCGGGTATTTTCGATCCGTGGTTGGAATCCATGGATGCAGAACCCACAGATACAGAGGGTCGACTGTAGTGGGGAAAGAGTCGAGTGGTAGGAGAGAGAGCAGATGGTAGTGTCACAAACACCACCTCCCACCATGGACCTAATTAGGACTCAGTTTACCAAGTGTCTTCATTGGCTTGACGTCATGTTGTACGTAAACCCAGATGTTATAAACTCATTGAACGAGTTCATTGGTGTGGAAGTATTTCTTATTCTGAGGTAAGATTTCTGGTGTGTGAACAACAGCTTTTCTTCTATGATGTGCTTTGGTTCCACAGGCCTGCTTTGCTTCTCTGGTGAGTCAGGACTATGTCAATGGCACCGATCAGGAAGAAATTCGAACTGGTAAGAAGTCCCGCTATTTAGACAGTGTTCTTGCTTCAGCAAGATCCAAAATCCTGATTTTACACTTGATGTGTTTTAGTTTTGCTTGTATCCAGGGAAGTTTTCCTGGGAATAAGATTTATGTAGGTGATCTCTATAAACTGATGGTTCTCTAGTCTTTTTCAGTTTATAAATTGACCTAATGAGTTTTTAGTTTTTCATGAGTATTAGTTTTTCATATTGTTCTAGGACAAAGAAGACTAATAGTGTATAACCCCTTGCCGTTGAGTTGATTCCAACTCATGGCAACCCTATAGGACAGAGTAGAACTGCCCCATAGGGTTGCCAAGGAGTGGCTGGTGGATTTGAACTGCCCACCTTTCGGTTAGCAGCCGTAGATCTTAACCACCGTACCACCAGGGCTCCAGTAGTGAATAGTGCTCTTAAAAAAAAAAAAAAAAAAAGTTGTATTATTTTTTTGGATAGGTGTTCCAGAGAAAAGTCTGTTTGCTTCATCCTCATGCTCCCCCAGCCCAGTACTGTCCCCAGGGGTAACCAGTGCTGCCAGTTTTTTTGTACCATATTTTATTTGTTCCATTTTAACTGGAAATCATGATGCTAATTGTTAGATCTTTGGATTCCCCTCTTCAGAAGAGCTCGTGGCTTTGATGTTGCCTTAAGGCTTCTTATTCACTTGATAAAAGCACAGATTATCCCGTTTAATCTGGGTCAAGACATGGGGGTGGGGGGTTTGGGAGGCCATTATTATTGCTGTGGCCAGGATTAAAGTCCCAGAATACATCTTTGAGAAGGTGTGACACTTCATTTATGAGGGAGATATATGTGTCTAGTGTTTTTCTTCAGTTAACATTTTGGTCTTGTTTTTTTCCCAAGGTGTCGATCAGTGTATCCAGAAGTTTCTGGATATTGCAAGACAAACAGAATGTTTTTTCCTACAAAAAAGATTACAGTTATCTGTCCAGAAACCGGAGCAAGTTATCAAAGAGGTACAAACTCATTTTTTTTCCTCAACTTTCAGGAAGCACAAGTGGTGTCAGGATTTCATTTATGCATCTCTTGCTAGTCACAGAAGGGTTTTCTAGACTGGGTATGAAATGTTGCTAGTTGTCAGTGTTCACGACAACCTGGATAAGTAGTGGAGCCAGGGAGTGGGGGTGGGGAGCAGAGCACCTCAAACAGAGCAGCTCTGCTCTTGTTTCCTTCAGTAGGCTTTTTTGGAAGATTTTTCTTAAAAGATTCTGCTTGAGAAAGGTTGAAAAGCCATTAATATAGATGATAAGGTCACTTTGGATCAGCATCCCCAGTTGCCTCACTCCATGCCTTACACACAAGAAAGGCTCTGTTAAATTTTGTTCAATGAATCACAAAGTAAATGTGACCCAAGTGCCTTGAAAGACAAGATCTAGTTTATCTTAGTTTTTGTAGACCAGGGGCGTTTGGAAGTGTGTTGGGGTTATCATGATAACTAGGCGCTTTAGCAGCATTTAGTGGTTGGGTCAGGAAACCCCCCCTGCCTGCAGTGTGCCCAGGAAGGAAGACTTATCCTGCCCCAAGGCCAGCAGTGCCCAGTGAGGAACACCAAGAGAAAATTAGTTGTTCTGTGGCCAGTTTTGAGTGACTACTGCCACTAGCTGACCAGTTAATCAGAAGGGTTCTTTTCATTCATGACACCAACTGTTGAGAAGAAGGTGAATGGTAAGAAGAAGCTATTCTTACAGTTTATTATGTCAGATCATTTCTTGATTTGAATAGTTTAACAACAACGCAGGTGTGTTCAAGGCCTGGTCTTAATGAAGAATTATAATGCTGGTATTCATAGAAAGCTCTGGAAAATAAGATTTTTAACATTTCATAATTTGCATAGATAGAACAGTGGTTATGGATTTTTTTTTTTTTTTTTTTAACAGTATGTGTTTTAGATTCTCTGTGTTAGACTCTCAGCAGGAGCATCTGGGCAGGGGCACTGCGTGTGTGTGGGGCCGGGATGGTAAAGAGACTGATTTCTCGTTGGCTGCCCTTTGGTACTTTTTCAGTCTTGTAGCTTGTTTATTACCTATTAAAAAAAATTAAAAACTCTCCGTATTGGGTGACATCTTTCATTCGAAGAACTACTGCTTTGGATTAGTCAAATAGTGCCAAGCAGAGTACTAGGCTTTGCGTGGTTTAATGGATTCTGTTTTGAATTTACTCCTGGGTGCACTTAACTAATTAGGGCCTGTGTTCATTTTCCACAAGCTTGCTTTGACTTGCTCTCTTGCCTTCATTGTAGGATGTCTCGGAACTAAGGAATGAACTGCAGCGGAAAGATGCCCTGGTCCAGAAACACCTGACCAAGCTGCGGCACTGGCAGCAGGTGCTGGATGACATCAACGTGCAGCACAAAAAGCCGGCTGACCTCCCTCAGGGGTCCTTGGCCTACCTGGAGCAGGCGTCAGCCAACATCCCCGCGCCGCTGAAGCAGAACTGAGCACCGGAGCAAAGCGCCCATCACCCGAAAGATTGTCTCATGCATAAGTCTGCCTGAGGACAGTTGTGCAAAATACCCATTCTTGTGGACATCACCTTTTGGGAGAACTCTTTGCCAGACAATGAGACAATTTTCATTTCATGCTCCCACCTGAACTTTTCACCCTATTTTTATAAGGTGTTTATTTCTCCAGTACTTTCTAAAGCATCTATAGCTTCGATAAACCAGGTAGATCTGTTTTGTCTTTAAGTTTAGACTTGGTTTAGTGTGATGCCAATTACAGATGTCTTTTCATGGTTTTTTGGCTGTTTATTTTTTCTATGACTTTTAATTTCTTCATGTGTACTTCTAGTTGTTAATTTGTGTGATCTGAGGGAGAAAATCACACTAGTCTGGGCATCAGGAGATGAGGATTTTGGTTGTAGGCGTTGTATGATAATTATTCCTCAGTAGCAGTGCAGGAACGCATGTAAATTTGCGATGTGCCAGACTCTGAACTACCTCAAGAAGAGGAATCTAATGCAACGCGGTCTGTGAGGAGTGAGGCTATTTTGTAAATATGTAGGAGGATTATAATATCCTAGGTTAGTGTAGTAGTAGTAGTACTGCTTTGGTTTGGGGTAACTTTATTCTTTGTGTGGTGTTGAATTAGTTTTTTGCGGGGGTGAGTAGCAGGAGGGGGGGGATATGCTAAATCATGTTATGCTCTGCACTAAATGAACCAGTTTAAGGACCGGGCAGACCTTGTTGTCATATAGCGTGGCAGTTGGGTATAGGTGAAGTATGAGGAGTTAAAGTTTGCTGTGATACTTTCTTAGTTCAGTTTAGTTTTCATCTTGCTTTTCTGGAGCAGAGGCAGTTTCCATTAAGGAAGCTTCTTGCTAATGGATGGTCTTGATCCAAGAGACTGGGGCCTCAGGGTAGCGGGGTGGGCAGTAGGGTGGCCCTGGGCTACCGGACCTCCACAAAAACATGCCCAGCCTCAGCCTTTGGGACATCTTAGCCTCTTGTTATTTTGTAGGCCCCTCAGAGTCTCTCTTGAATGGCTATTGAGAAATACAGACCAGCATTGTTCCTGGTGCTAGTTGGATGAGGTTTTCGTTTCTCTGTTTTATACAGTCTCATTAGATGACATGCCTCCACCCAGCACAGACTCTCAGTTGTCTTGGAATGGGGTGCACTTTGTGACTGGTGCCTTGGGTCCTTTTGGTTTCTTTAGTCTTGAAGGCCCCGTCCCACACGCGTCCAAATCCATTTATCCTTCCTGGCCCGGCCTAGATGCCTCCAGGTCTGTGAAGCCTTTGAACTCCTTTCCTCTGCATTCCCAGGGCACAGGACTTTTGATCTCTTCTATGGCCCATGCTGGGTTCTCCCTTGTGAGTTAGTGATTTGTATCTTTCCCTACTCTTCACTGCATTGTAAGCCCATGATAATCATGCATTAGACCCCTTTAAAAGTATGTGTGTGTGTGTATTTTTTTTTTTTTTTCAGTTATCATTGAGTTGATTCTGACTTATGGCAACCCCTTGTGTGTCAGAGTAGAACTGTGCTTCATAGGGTTTTCAGTGGCTTATTTTTCTGAAGTAGATCCAGGCCTTTCTTCCAAAGTGCCTCTGGACAGACTTGAACCTCTAACGTTTCGGTTAGCAGCCAAGCGTGTTAGCCATTTGTACCACCTGAAGACTCTTTTTAAAGATATATAAAAAAAACCTAAACCCATTGCTGTCAATTCTGACTCTTAGTGACCCCATAGGGTTTCCAAGGCTGTAAATCTTCACAGAAGCAGACTGCCAAATCTTTCTCCCGCAGAGCGGCTGGTGAGTTTGAACCACTGACCTTTCAGTTAGCAGCTGAGTGCTTATGCACTGCACCACCAGGGCTCCTGTCTTTAAACATATAAAGACCATATGCTGTTTATCACTTATACGTAATACTAGTCACTTCGTGTGTGTGTGTGTACGGTGTCTGGCAAAAGTAAAAATACCTCCTCAGTTGGAATGGATATGTTAAACAAAGCTTTTAAAGTTTGTTTTTACTCACATGACGTCATTTCAAGGTTGTTAACCTGGTCATCTTATGCTAATTGGAAGCTCTAATTGGCAGCTTTAGACTTCTTGATTGAAAACCTAAATAAAGGGATTAAGTTTTAGACAATTGTTTAATAATAAAGGGGTTCTTGGTGGAACAATTGGCCGTTGTTCTATTTGGTGTTGAGCAAAAAAAATCTTTTATGTACCAGTTATTGCCATTTTTAAAATTCAGAGTTTTCTTTCAGATAGCAACTTTTCAACCTGTCTATATGAAGAAATTTTTTTTCGTAACATCTTATTGGTTGATGAGCATAGAAAATACTCTGAGCTGCTGTCTCCATCAGTGAGAAGATCCAGGCCATCTGGGAGTTCTCTTCCACTGGTGATAACCCTGCCCTAATCACCGGGCCATCTGTGTTTTTAATTCCTCTTCCATCTGCTGCGGGGGCATGATGGAGATTAGTGCTACCCTTAGAAATCTAAAGGATGCAGAATAGTGATCTCTGTCATAAAAACCAAAGCTGTTGCCTTCAAGTCAATTCCAAAACTCATGACGACCCATACATTACAGAGTAGAAGTGCTCCGTAGAGTTTTCTTGCTGTGATCTTTATAGAAGCAAATCACCAGGCCTTTCTTCCCCAGTGCCACTGGGTGTGTTTGAACCACCAACCTTTCAGTTAGCAGAGTGCTTAGCCACTGTGCCACCATGGCTCCTTGTCCCTACTATAGCTCCCATTTAATTTGCCAGCCTGGACCCTGAAAAATCCAGACGGATCCTGGAGAATGATTATAGACCCAGAAGCTTCAATTGCAGCTACTATGTTGGACCTTGTATCGATGATAAGAGCAGTTAGTAGGGCCTCAGGTACATGGTATGCAGCTACTGATGTGACAGATTCATTCTTCTCTGCCCCAATTTAGAAAGACTTGGCATTCATATGGAACAGACAATATGCCTTTCCAGTTTTGCTCTGGGAATACGTTAATGCCTTCTGTCATAGTCAAACTATCAGATCAAGTTTCTTTGTCAGTATTGTCTAGAGTACAGAAGAAAGAATTTCACTGCTGGTGGAGGTGCAAATTGCTAGAAACTTTTTGGATGGTAATGTGGTTATAACAAGAACTTTTAAGTATGTATCCTTTAGTGTTTTAATTCAATAATTTAAGGAACATACCCTAAAGAAAAAATGATAGAAGCATGCAAAGATTTAGTTTTCAAAGACATAATCATTGCAAGGAGGGATCTAGAAATTTAAGGAAGTTTTGTTCACTTGCAGCACAAATCAAAATGGATGTAGGGTCTCCATAAAAATTCTATGCTCTGTATGATAGGTAAGTTATATACAGAGAGCAGAGTTTAATAGCGGTTACCAGGGGTGGGAGGGAGGGGGTATGAGGGAAATTTTTTCAGAATCATTAGTTTTTGTTTATGGGGATTGAAAATTTGGCAGAGGACATTAGTGATGGTTGCACAACAGGATTGATGTTCACTGAATTGTATATGTGAAAAATGTTGAATTGGCAAATATGCTATCTGTATTTTTACAATAAAAAATTTAAAAAAAACCAATCTTGTTGCTGTCGAGTCAGTTCTGACTCATGGAGTCCCCACATGTGCAGAGTAGAACTGCTCCATAGGGTTTTGGAAGCAGATTGCCTGGCCTTTCTTCCCAGGTGACTCTGGGTGGGTTTGAACCGCCAACCTTTCAGTTAGCAGTTAGTCACTTAACCGTTTGCACCACCCGGGGACTCTGAACAGGTACTTCTTATTTGAAGATTATCTGACTGAGGTTAATGTGAACTTCCTGTTCTCAAACTCTCTTCAGTTAATTGTACTTTTCTATGGAAAAGCAATACAAGTGACAACCATTTTTATTATCCAGTTTTATTCAGAGAACAAAGATTTGACAGTGCACAGAATAATCATCTGTTTTATGGGCCACCTGCTGGGCCAGCACCAAACGATTGAGAATTATTTTGCCCACTGAGAGTTGTATTGAGTCTTGTCAGATGTTGATGCTCCGTCAGAGGGTAAGAGAATTCAACGTGGACTGAGGGCACGGCCAGCCGTGGGAGCGGCCATTCCAGTTCCTTAATCTACCGAGAGTCCATGCAATGGGGGAGCAAAGCACCATGAGGCAAAGGGCCCAATCCAAAGACCAGATGTTCAGCAGACCCTTGACTTCAAAGAGCAGACAGTCTAGAAACCGTCACACAAATTGCCAAGTTGTTTAGTCACTGAAATTGAGACGTGGTGGGCGAAGCTCGGTTATTCACAGAAAAATCCTTGTGTGGTTTAATTCCAATTCATGATAGGTCCCTTTACACATTATCTGCTGAATCCTCACAAAGCCTGCATGAGGTAGGTGTTATCCCTTCTGTAATCTACTGCCTGTGGTGGACCCTAGAAGTCAAGCTATTCCATCCAAGCATGCCAAGAGTCTGTTATAGTCCATGCCAAGTAGTTCTGTATTGGTTTTCCTGGTTATTTTGCACTTTGTCTTATTCCTCTTCCTACTGAGGTTGGATGTGCATCTTTTTAATTGCATCATTTTACACTGGAATAACTTTTCAATGGTGGTGACTAGCATCCTTAGGAAAAATGAGAGCACTTTTAAAGTAGAACATGGAAATCACAAATCTGATCAGCTGCAAAGTAGCCTATGGTTTCATGGACACTAGAAATACAACATGTAGGTCATCAGTAACATTTTCTAAATGGGTGCTTGTTGATAATACTGGCTTACTGAATCGTAAGGAATTTTTTTTTTTTTTAAATGATGTGGTGCCACAATGAAATAGTATGAAATGTGAATGCCAAAATTTGTTTCAGCTATCACACATATATAAATGATGTTACAAGCAAGTTACTTGGTTCGTTGGTTTTTCACTTCATTCCCTCAGTCAGACATTTTAAAAAGGAACGTGTTTCAAATATCCTCTTTGTGATGCATCCCAAGGATCCATTTAGAAAGAAAAGTACTTGGTAAACCATTCCTGATGGACAGAGCCTTGTTTCTGCTGGGCTTCTTTGGGCTGGACTGTTTCACCTTGTGTCCTAAAAACAAGCAAAGTTTTCTTACATGGTTCTGAGAATTATTCAATAAGCAACTTAATATTTGCCATCTTTTCAGGGAAAGGTAACCCCTCTTCAAAAGACACTAGACTGTGACTAGTTAATATTAGTAGCTAGAAACAAGGTAAAGGAGCAGGAGAAGCATGTCTGATTTCTCCTTGGAAAACAGGGTTCTCCGTTTCATTTAAGACTTAGTGGTTGCTACACTAATGAGGTTATTTTGTAGCATTTATTATTTATTGCAGGTACAAATTAAGCAATAAATACCAGAAATAAAGATAAAGAAATGTTTAATTCAACATAGTATTACAATTTATTGTTTCTTCAAAGTTATCTGTTACTACTTAATATGTTCTAGCAACCCAATGAAATTGTGGAAATTAGCCCAATAAATTGAAAAGGGGAAGCCATAGGTGAGAAGTTGCCATGTAACCTAGCTGAATGGTCTCTATCTGTGTTTGGGAGACTTCATATAAGACAGTGGGAACATAGCTGTAAATACAGGAGCCTACTATGTGATGG